CCGCATTTTGTGCCTGTCTGAAGTCGAGCGGGCTGTCCGGGCTGGTGGCTGCATAACCTAGACCTACAAGAAGTCCTTCCGGGAGATCCAGATTCACGCTGGAGAGGTCCTTGTAGGTGGATTGCAACTGACTGGCAAACGAAGACGTGGCCTTGACCTTGTCCGGGCGGAACCAGTTACTCCCCAATGGCCTGTGGCCCACTGCGGTAGCCGCTTCTTCGAGATCACTAAGACCAAAGCCTTGACCGTGTCGGAGGAGCATGTGAAAGACACCTGGTACCTCATGTGGCATGTACCAGGTAGTGGGGGCTCGCAGCCCAATGGGAGCTTTGAGTAAGAGCGTGCGATGAGCTCTCTGTCCATCGGCTACTCCACCAGGGCTCTGTTTGGGATCACCAAGCAGCAGCCGAAAGAAGGGTTGTCGGGGAACCGCCGGCGCGAAGGCAGATTTGAGGTCCATGTCCTGCTGCGCTTCTTCACTAATGAGCAGCTCCACATTCTCTATATGCGTGTTGAGTGTGGAGTGAGTCTGACCTTTTTGGTCCCAGACAAGCCCAGTAGTGACAATGACGACATGGCAGCCGGGGATGTATGGAGCCGCGTCGCTTGCACGCAGGTCGTAGGCAGTGCAGGCCTTTCTGGAGGCGGGCATTGTCGCACTTGCCTTGCCGACAGACTTTCAACAGGATAGGCTCCACCGCCTGCGCAAGCCGCCAACAGCTGCAAACTGTTGATCCGTCCCAAACTGAGGATCACGGCATAAGAAGCCTTCCTCAAGGGTACCTCTCTACAGGAGGTTTCCACTCCTGCTTTACATGGCGTGATGCGCTTTTGCAGGTAGCACGCAATTTCGAGCAATATGCAAACAAAGAACACTGTTGACGTGTACATACATGACATTCCATGCGTTTGACTCTCTGCGTCAGGCACTGCGCTGCGTCAGTCACCTCTGGCGGCTGCCGTTTCCTGCCTATCTACCTGTGTGGCTCAGTCCCCGGGTCTGCTCCAGCTCATCCGGAGACAGTATCCTGGTCGATCTTCCAGCTTGGTTTTACGAAGAGAGATGCGTTGCAGGCTCTCGGATGACTGGAGCTGCACGTAGGCCTCCCGTGCTGCTTTCCGGATCTCATTCTTCCTCGACCATTGATCCTCCAGGGAAATAAGGGCCTGTCTCTCGGCAGTTTCATCTTCCTCATCCAATATCCCTTCTCCCAAGCGAGGGGCCACCCCGAAAAGCCACTGAGCGGGGGAGTAGCCATGACGGCGTCGGAGGTAGTTCTTGGCCTGTGAAACCGATGCCAGAACCCATTCGACCTCATGGTCCTTCATGGTGAATCCAGGAGGAGACTGTCTGTGGATGAGCTGGAGCAGACCCGGGGACTGAGCCACAGAGGTCGACAGCAAGGAACATGAACTGGAGTAAACCCCGAGACTGAGCCACAGAGGTTGACACCAAAGAACACAGCTCAGAAAAATCACGACACAAGGTCGTCCAAGTCATCCTTCCCAGCCAGCACACTCTTTCCCCTACGTCCGTGGCCTTTGCCGCGCGGGGCCTCTCAGCCCCAGCGCGCGCAGCTTTCGTCGAGAGCTACGGCGCAACCTTGGCACATGGACAGCGAACTGTCAGATGACGAGATCAGGAACAGAAAGAAATTGTATCTATGTCCGGCATCCAATGTCCGCACACGGGGCCACCGCTCCGATGGTTCTTCCCCATGCCATGACCTGTCAGCCAATCGCAGTCAGCAAAGAATCGACGGATAGAACCGAGACTCTCTGCATGCGGATAACTTTGACAGGCAAAAGGTTCATCCCCCGACCCAACACGAAAAGCGCAGCAAAGGCACATGGACTAGTAACGGCAAGCCAATCACGCTGCATATCGACGACAACATTTCATTTCAAATCACGCAAGCTACAGCACCCGCAAAGCACAGTCAGTGGCGCTTGACCTGACAGAAGCAAAGGAGATGCAAGGACCGATATAGATCTGAACTCGGGAGAATTATATCCACCCAACACAACCGTCGCCCCGCCTGGTCCACACATCCAAGTCCAGCGGTGCGCATGCATACAAAGCAAATCCTTCCCCAACCCCACCACCTGCGAGGACTGAGCCATCGCCATGTCAGGCTCGTAACACATCATCAACTTTGCAGCTTGCGCAAAGCATCGGCTAATGAAGTCGGAAGTTCTGCCGGTAGGCATGCGCTTTGAAACCCACTGTCTACATCCAGGACCAAGACTTGAAAATGCTGATGCGAAACGTTGTACAAGCATACATAAGCTGCAGGGTCTTCCACTGCTGCTGCGTAAGAATGTAAGCAGTTCGCTGGGAGATCTTCACCTGTCACTGGGGCGCTCACCGGTTCATTCCCCACGATACAGAAACATATTTTCAATTCTTTCGCTAAAACATCCACATCCCAGTGCGTGGCCCAATGCTTGTTACCAGCTTCACTGACATGGCGAGCAATCACACTCTGTAAGCTCTGCAAAACATCACTGCCATTCAAGATGCTGTGGCGCACCACACCAACCTCTTCTCCATGCTTGCATTGCAAAACTAAATGGCCTCTGGAATCTTCAGTGGTAGTGGTTACTTCGTTCACAGTTTGCATAAAAGCGAAACACGTTCCAGCAATGACCTGCGACATCTTCCACTGATCCAACCACGTACCAGCAAGTTCATCCATCAGGCAAGTGGTCAGAAAGTCCACGAAGCGCCGTGGCGACCACTGCAGAACGGCGCGGCCTATGATGTCCCGCAGTCGTTGAGCCAGGACTCGGCGCGAGGGTCTGTCCGCTAGCAGTGCTTGCAAGGTCGGTGGAAACGTCACGCACTGCTCGTGCCACAGCTGCAGACATACGGCCACCGACAAGAAAAAGCAATCGCCTCCTCCACCGGCATCTGCAGCGAAAGCCCGTAGGCGATGCTGTCGCAGTAAATACTGCTGAGCGACTTGTGAGAGAGAGTGCAACCGTAAATTGTGCGTCTCGCAAAACTGCTCACGATCCGGATGTGGTCTTCCCGGCCAGGGCCGTTTCGTGCTCCCCGAAGAAGTGGTCGCAGACCTAGCCGTCGCCCGCGACCAAGCATCCAGTTCGTACACAAAGGAGCCATCCGTGTCTTGGCGCAAAGGCCGCGGTAAGAGATCCGCGCGGGGAAAACCAGGTAAATGTTCCAACGCAGTTGCCACGGCCAGCGACGAGGACTGAGCCATCTCCTGCACGAGCAACCATGTCATGACATTCACACTGGTGTCACAACACATACTTACAACGGTGATGTTTTCTCCCGCCGATCACGCCTCCAAACGAGCCAGGAACTGTGCAATATAAGCCGGTGGTCCGTGTTCGAAGACACTGAAGTCGATGTCTTGACCGTCTTCTTGCGTTGGTAAATTGCGAAACAAGCAATGCTCCAAGCAGGTGGACCTACCGGTAATCATATAAACATGCTGTACGTATTCCTCCGGAGTGAAATAGTCTGGTTTCTTGAAGTCCACAGTATGCCCCATGTTCCGCACAGTCTTTCCCTGTTGATTATTGTAGGTGCCTGCAGTCCACGGCGCCAGGGGATATTGCACTCGGGAATGCCATATCTTTCCTGCGGATGTACTCCAATGGCAATGACTTCCGCAGGACATTCTTGCACCAGTTCAGGGGCCATCAGTTTCTTCGTGATTTTGACACGCAGGCCCACATGCAGAGGACAAAATGACATCAAATTGCAAGTTTTGGAGGCCATATTGGTAATTGCCAAGCACTCGTGCAAGATGCTTTTGTCAGCAAAAAACTCCTTCTGATGAACCAAATCCACGGCTTGCGCGTAATAGATGACCTGTCCTGGCTGAAACATGCAGGACGTCAGGGACTGAGCCACCGACTGCAAGCCTTGCCAAAACTTAGCATTGATGGAGCGTCCCAACGCCGGAGGAAAATGTCGATGAATCCGCACGGCCTTGCCAGCCGCAGTGTTTCGCCATGCGCTGACTCCAAAACTGCTTTTGGCGGACTCATAGACAGTGATTTGTTGCAAGCGTGCCACCTGATCCCAGTTGATTGCCGAAAACATGCCATTGGCAAAGAAGCCCCTAGGACCCACTTGACGTCCATCTGCGTCTCGCATCACGAAATCACTGTCCAGACGAGGATCCCCAGCCAAAGGTCGAAAGACTTGCTTACGAATGGCGTCTTTCAACTCTTCCCGCAAAGGATTGTGACCCTCCTTACGCATGTTGCTGAGGATCTCTGCCAACGGATCTCCCGCCTTGAACCGATGGCCCCCCCGAAACAGAATTGTTTGCGGCAAAAATTGACCAAAGATCTGCAAGCCCAACCGGTCGATGTCCTGCTCGCGTTGCCGGGTCTGTGCCTCCATCTTTTCATACGTTGGAGCACGAGGAACTTCGACGCCGAAGATTTCCATCAAGGAATGATTCAACACTGGATTCAATTGCAAAAAATCACCTGCAACGATTTGGCACAAGACATTTCCCAACGTCTCCACATGATCACTTGCTGACCTTTGCCCACCGCTGGCACGTGCCGTTTTCCTTTTCTTACCCCTTTCACACACTGAACCACTAGGCTTGGAGTTCTGCAGAGTGTGTCTGCCCCACTGGGCTGCATCGCTCAAGACAGCCAACAACGCAGGCGGGGTCAGAGAGATTTCGTCCACGAAGACCAAACCCACATGCAGCCAGCGACGCTGTAACGCCTCCAGTCTGGCGCGCGATGGTTTCTGTAGACTCAAGTCCTGCGAGCGGGTCAAGGCCGACATGTAGTGAAGCGTGGCTCCAGCAATGAGGCGCGCGGCCGAATTTTGCGCCGCCACCCCTTTGGACGCACGGGGTAGAAAATGTTCGTAGACTGGCAATATCACACGCGTCAGCATGTAGGTCTTCCCAGAGCCACCAGGTCCACGTAAGAAAATTCGCGAAATCATGTCCTGGATACGGGATTTCTTCTAACTAGAAAAGGACTTCGAAACATCACTTCGAAACATAACATAGTACGTAAAGGCACAGCCAAGTTGCTGGTGTGACCAAAGACAAGACCTCGTGAATGCGATGTGGGGTCCCAAAGCAGTGTTGCAGGTTCTGTTCCCCAGCTTTAACCCACAATTTCTGCAGCGGTGCAACAGCCAACACGCACGCGCTGTACTGATCTTTGGAAATTTCGTACGCGCCATCGAGCTGGCGCATCGGAAGTCGTTGCTGGAGTAACTGCGTGGCCATCTCGGCCGGAGACACCGTAGCGACCCAAGCCTCCGGAGCCAGATCGACGGGTACTGCCACTACACCAGAGGTCCCAGGCAACATTTCGTCTTCAGACACGTCCATCAACTGCTCCTCCTTCTCTTTCCTGCTGTCTTGCAAAAGCTTCTGCGTCTTGAAGCCAGACACCACATCGAAGCCACCTCCACGCTTCACGTCTGCCGCACTCGGCATAGCACACATCCGAGATTCTTTCATGTCCAGATATTTTCCTCCATATTGGTGCAAAAATTCTCTGGACCGCTTTGTGCTAGCGCTCGTACGACCAGCAGCGGTCGTCTTCGTATCCTGACGATGGACCACATCAAAGAGATCGGCCGCGGACACATGCAGAATGGGCTTATATTGCAGTTCCGGGCGAAGTGCTGACGGTTCCGCTGCCTCGTCAGGGTCTGGGTCGTGAACATCGTCCAAGTCTGCGGCATCGACAAATTCTCCCTCCAGGCCAATGTCCTCCTTCTCATCGCGCGCAGTAGGGTGAAGCAGTCCTGGACGAGGTCTTCTGCGCGCCTCTGCCATGTAATCCAAGTTCGCAGAAATTTCACGGGAAACCACAGCAGTGTATTCAGCGCTGGTCAGTTGATCATCGTGCCAGCCATACGAACACCTCTTGGCCGACGTCAAGGTTGGATTCCCTGCTTGGCATGCCTGCAAGTGCTCTTTGTCGTTTCCAATGCATACAGCTTCCCCATCATCCGTTTGCAAGGTTCCAGTAAAGTCTAAGATGCACGCCACAACTCTCTCAGAAAAACGCGGAATCTCTGCACATGTAGTAATGGAGGGACTGACCCGCTGCTTCTGTCTCATGCGACGACCGGGGACTGAGCCACTGCTGACATGCACCGCGGTCATCGTGCGCGTCTTGGGACGTCTCTCCCCCAGAAAACAATCCAGCACAAAAGTCATGACATCGCATCGCTCCATGCTGCCCGGTACTCGATACTGTCGTAAAGCCGTCACGTCAACCACCTGACACAGACAAGACAAGAACAAACTAAATACCTTTACCCAACGGCTGCGTACTCTACATGACACAGGTGATACTCTCCTAGATCCTGGAACAAGTCTCCCTTTCGTTCCTATACTGGTCCGGGCGAGACACAGTCGCGCATCTTCGACCACGCCGAAGCTTCACCTCGACATCATATGCAATTCAGAGCAAGCATCAGGATTCTTCAACGCTATCGTTGTCAAGTCACTTTCAATGCTTCCATGACTGTTCACCATCTAACTTCAAAACCAAGGCGCATCTGCCCGGTCTGCCAAACATTGAATGCGGGCTTCAGTGGCTTTCCATGTAGCCAGCACGCCAGTGCGATCCACAGCCGCGCGAACATCCATTCCAGGCGCGACAACACGATGGTGCCTGTGTCTTGGGAAGACATGTATGTGCTTCACAGCCGTGGACTTGCCACATTCTTTGGCGCATTGGCACGCGTGCTGTTGCAGGAGTGCGACGTGTACAGCCGCATGCATCTCCGGGTCCTTTTGCTTGGTCGGCATAGATATGCCATGTAGGTACGGAATGCGCGCCGCAGCATGGAGAACTTGTACATGCGTCTTCGCTCTCACGTAGTGAGCCTCGAAATCGAACTCGCCATGCTCAAACTTGCCACCTTCTTGCACCGGTACAGCGCTCACATGCATGGCGTAGACATACAAGTTCATCGAGGCCAGGGGTTCCACGACGCCTCGATGCAAGTAATCTTCATAGAACGAGGTTGCACGTGCGTCGGTGCGTTCCCCAGTGCTCGCAGTGACCAGATCAATGTCTGTCAGCGGCAGCGCACTTTCCGCTTCCACGGCCACATCCACTGCGGTGGTGTTTCTTCGCATTTCTTCAAAAATGCCCCAGAGCACTCGCTTCAACATAATGCGCCAAAAAATATGCGTCCGCAACACTTCTCGTCCAGTCAACAATTGTAGAGACATTAGGCAGAAGCCATGCATCACCGCATGGTTGGCAGACGTCCACAAGCGACACAACCTGCGCCGAGCTTCTTTTTGTTCCGGGGTCAGACCGCGACCTTCGTGCGCTGCAGGCAGGGGGTAATTCATCTGCAAGCGCCGTGCCTCTTCTTGTTGTGCTTCCGCTTGCATGCGCTCTTCCAGTGCGCGCATCCCGTGAGTCAGGTGTCTCAGAACCGGTCCACAGGTCAATGCCGGCTTGGTCGTATAGTCGCACGTGTAGAAGCTGGTTTGGATGCCTGTCCGGATCCCCTCCACCACGCACTCCTTCACGTAGTGATGCAGCGTTCGTTGTTCTACTGTCAAGAAGCGATCACCAACTCTGCTCGCATCCGCCGCACCAGTGCGTTCATATTCCAATCTATCCAAGCTTGAGCATGCCATGGACATCGCACGACACATGGCACCCGTCAAGTATTTGGTCAAAAATTCACTGGCTCTTCGATGCGTACGGTCGCTTTCTTCCAAAGTCCCTGACCAAACAAAACTCAATGTTCTCCACCATTCTGCTGTCAAGATGAAAGCTGAGGTAATCTTCACTCGAAACCGCACATGCTCCTTCTTGTCCTTCATGTCCGAGCCCATCACCGTGCAAGTATCTGCCAAGAAACCGAGCAAAGCGTTGCCACGACTTCCGAAAGGGACTGAGCCTCCGGTTGTCGATGACACATCCGGGACTGAGCCACCGATGTCCGACGATGCAACCGTCCCACCGGGGACTGAGCCTCCAGGCGCAGCAGATTCTGCCTGTGCTGCGGTATTCATGTCAGACGATGCAGCCACAACAAGTCCAGGCATCCTAGACGACCCCATGTCCCCCATGTCCTCACACGGCTGCAAGACCTCGCGAAGTAACTCAATGTCACTCTCTTCAAACCCCGCCGTCAAAGTTCGCCGACAATCTTGGTAGTTCAAGTTCCCACGATGAGCCACCATAGCAGCCTCACAACTGTCGCTTCGTGACTACTCAGGGCATTTCGTCACAGTTATTGCAAACAAAGGCCTGATATGAAACTGTTAGTATTGCGACCAAAGGCACAGGCATGCATTGACCTTCTCTCGGATTGTATTGAACAGTCTTGATGCGCCCATATTGCGTGCCATCTGGATTCGACTCCACCGTGGCTCCCAACGAAGAGCGACCAGCAAAATGCCGACCATCCAAACACACTGCCGCACCCTTGATAGACTCCAAACTGATGCGACAACCTTCCCTCGGCCACACAGGTAGTAACGGTTCTTTCCCCGTGCGAGCAACTACGACTTCAACCACCTTGACAGATCGATCTTCAAGCACTTTCTCTTGCGACAACTTCACGAAATGAGTAAAGTGAAATCGACAGTGCTGCGGTTTTCTTCTGCTTCCTTCAGGAGCATATTTAAAGCGTGTGTTTTTGTGTTCGTGTAAATGTCCTGACAACGCACAAACTTCATGCAAATCTTCACAGAACGACTTTATGTAGTCTCGCCGCTTGTCTTCCACGCCCTGCACTCCCCTACCACCAGACTCAAGTTTGGCCATCTCATCCCTCGCTTTCGTGCACAGAGCGCACGAACACCCTGAGTATCCACAGGCCGGTAGACGATAGTGCGGTAAACGGGCCATGACACAACCGGTCAAAGGCAGGTGCTTCACATTCACCTTTTGCTTCGTCTCCTCGAAGGACGTCGCTGTTGCTCCAGACGCGTGCTTTGTCACATGGCGATCGACAACCGGTGGAACTACAGCTACGAGAGTCCTTTTCTTCTCCGGGTCTTTCACATCTGTCTCACTTCCACCATCAAAGCGATCCTCTTCCTGCCATTTGGAACTATACGGCTGAGGTCTTAAGTCAATGTCCGCAGCAAAAGGAACTGGTTCGAAATGTAAGCGAGCCGTGCCCGCGCAAGACGACATGATGCTTTCCACCGCCAGTACGGTCTTCTCCTGCCACGTCCGCAACAAACGCTTGGCTTCTGCGGTTTCGGCCAGCAAGACACGGCGAAGCCAGGCTTGGGAGGTGCGGTGCAACACGATATGCGGGTGGCAAGCGAGCCTCGCTTGTTCTTCGATCGGACCGTGCAACTGCTGAATGGCGGGGAAGCAACCACCGAAGAATTCCCCAGCTGCCCCGCAGGGCGCTCGCCCGGCTTCCGTTGGCTTGGAGCTGCTCATCAAAAGGCATTACGCCCAGCACATGCTCCAGGAAGAGCCGCATGCTGATGATGAAGAAGCGGGCCTGCGCCACGGGATTCTCAGCGAGAATCTCCAGCATCCTTGCTGCGTTCGGCATGCTCGGTTCTTCTTCCAGTAAGTTTACGACAAACTTTTCAGACTCACCTTCCGGTGTCAACCCACCGTCCGTAGCAGAGACACACCCATTGTGCAGCATCACCACAAGCGGATTTCGCACATCTGCCACATTCGGCGTCAAGAAGCCATCCACCGCACCGTACCTTACTGTTCACCCCCGCGCATACATAGAAAAAGTCTTGAACAAAAGAAAACCAATGAAACCGGCGTTTGGCTGCCTTCAAGACACATCAGCATGGCTCCGTTTTGCTCATGCCGCAGCTGCTGTCGTGCCCCATCAGTGCCCACTACTTCTGCCGAAAAGAACAAAAGCTGAGAAATGGCATCCCGGATGCGACTATCCGAAGCAGCAGAGCGCATGATGTCACCGATCGTCGCATGGTCTCCCAATTGTCGCAGAGCGCTTGCAAGCTTCGCCGACGTGCAATCCAAAACCACCCGCAAAGAATCTTTGAATTTCTTTCTTTTGACATGAGCCGAAGCCAAACGAACCATCTCCATGCGCTTCCAAGAGTCAGACACCACTGCCAAAATTCAAACCTGCTTGCCAACGAAGAATGTTCGGTGGCTGAAACCCACCCATGGAGCCACTCCCTTCGGCGTCACCAGGAACCGAACCGGTCTGCTCGAAGAAGCGGCAGGGACTGAGCCGCTGGTTGATGCCGCTGCAGGGACCGAGCCACTGGCTGCCGTCTCATACTCCAACTCCACACGCTCCAACAAATATGCCGCCCATTCTCTGAAAGTCAAGGCCGTGTCCCTAGACAAACCATAGACGCCATCCCCGTATGGAAATAACTCCGGGAAACACTTTTAAAGTCTGTTCATAGCATCTGGCTTTTAAATCTTTGCATCTGGCCTTTGAAAACTTATGTAACTTTAGGCATTTCAAAAGTGTCAAATTTTTTTTTGCATTAAGTTTTTGTTATGGATTTGATCAGAACATGCCCTGCTCTGTGGGAACAACGAATTGATTCTCAGTCTCGCAGCTATTGGGGCTTTAGTAGCAGCATGTGTGAGTCTGCCATGGAGAACGTTGCAGAAGCGTCTCCTCCGCCCGGCGGCCCAGCGCCCAACCCTGCGGATCCTCCGAGCCCGACTTCCCCAGCTGAGCCGGCGGGCGATGCTGCTGCTCCAGTAGAAGCAGACGAAGAGAACAAGACCGTGTTTTCTGAGCAGACCTGCTTCGAGGAAGAGTCTTTGGGTGATGTGACAGAGGGCAGCACGGACCTGGAAGCAGCAGGGCTAGACCTTGACAAGCTCAATGCCGGTGGTTCAAGTGCAGCTGCTGCTGGCTCTGGTGCTGTAGCAGCTGGGCCTGGTGTTACTTCCAGTGGTTCTACAGTCGCAGCAGGTCTCAGTGCGCCAGCATCTGACGCGGCTGGCTCCAGTCCTATGACTTCTAGGCCTGGCTCTGCTGTTGCAGAAGCAGCAAGAGGGTCGGCTGGGGGCCCTCCGGCAAATGTGGCATTGGGCGCAACAGCAACTACAGCAGATCCAGGTCCTACCACTGCAGCCAGCATGGCCTTGGATGGTTACGACAGCAAACGTGACTACCAAAGGAAGGTTCGCAACAAGTAAGGAGGACGTCAGAAGCGATCAGGTGGTTGGGACTGGTGTCCGCGAAATTGGCATCGTGGTGGACCAGGAGGCCCTGATGGACCAAGTGGTTCTGGTGGGCCTGGACCGTCGGCTGGAAGCTCCTCGTCCACGATTGTCGCTTGAAAAAGGTGCGTTTGCGAATTGGCTGGGTTGGGAGGTTCTGGAAAGGGTTAAGTGGCGCTGCGGCTCTTTGGGCCGCCCTTTTTCACCCCATGGCAGCGGCTCACTGGGCCGCCATTGCGTCTGTTTGCGGCCTGCGGCTCTTTGGGCCGCTGGGCGTTGCGGCTCACAAGGCCGCCGCTTCTCTGGGTCAGCGGCTCTCTGGGCCGCTGTTTGGCAGCGGCTCCAAGGCCGCTGCATCGCGGCTCTCTGGGCCGAGGTTTGGCAGCGGCTCTATGGCCCGCTGCGGCAGCGGCTCTATGGGCCGCTGCATCGCGGCTCTATGGGCCGCTGCATCGCGGCTCTCTGGGCCGCTGTTTGGCAGCGGCTCTATGGGCCGCTGCATCGCGGCTCTCAGGGCCGCTCATTGATTAGATGGCGGCTCCCTTGGCCGCTGTTACATTATAGTCTCTTTGCGGCCTGCGGCTCTTTGGGCCGCTATACACTGCGGCTCACTGGGCCGCTGTAAATGAACGGCGGCTCTCAGGGTCGCTAGCGGCTGTCTGGGCCGCTGATATGGGCGCGGCTCTTGGGGCCGCTGCCTGCTTGCGGCTCTTGGGGCCGCTTGCTGCAGCTTCGTTGGGCTCTGGGTCGACTGCGCGGCTCGCTGGGCCGCTGGCGGCCATGGGCTGCGAGATTGTCCGGGCCTTATTCTCGTCACCTCCTTATTCGCTCACTTCACTAAGTCTTTGTTGCCGCTGCTGCCATTATCTTCAGTCCAACCAACGAACAATAAACAGAAGGCAAACATTTTTTAAAAACAAGTTGTCAATGGTCAAGCTTCGAACCACTAAGTAATTATTGTAAATAAACACAAGTAACAATATATGATATCAGCTCCTCTGACAGATTCTGTCAGTTTGCCTTGCGGCATGGCTGATGAGTCAGAAGTGGTTGGGCTGCCTCCGGATGTGGAAAGTTCGGCATCAGAAAAGGAGGAGTCAGATGTAGAGCTCCCGGAAAGCATGCTTGCAGCCGACTGTTGCAAGAAAAAATGCATTGATGCGGTGAGGGCTTCCCCGTTCTTGTGCCAATGTCAATCCAGGCTGCAAGCGAGTGTGGATCGCCTGGATCTTCCGGGCAGGAATACCCTTTGGTTCAACAAAATGCAGTCGATGCACTCACATGGAACTCGAACTTTGTCTTGGCATGGGATTAGCTTGCGCCATGCAGCCTACAGCATGGTGAGCCTATGCCCTAAGAAGAAGATCAGCAAGTTTTTGAAGGCCATTTCCCTTGGCGCAGTGCGAGCTCCGGTGGATGGTCGCTCCTTGAACATTGCCAAACCGAAGCCCAAAAGGGATGACTGCAATGTGTTCTTCTCATTTCTCTATGAGAATTTGTCTGAACCTCTGGCCTTGGCCCGAGACCAAGTAGAGGACGAAGAGGTGGCAGAAGAGGAAAGCTACAATGTTGAGCGCATTGAGGCCCCACAATGGCTCTTGGAACAAGATTTTCTGGAAGTGCCAATAGAACTTGGCCATGTCGCTGCAGGCAGTGCTGACAAGCGTCTAGTGGAGAAGCGGTGGTTGCCGACAATGAGCCTCGCTGAAATTTATGACCTGTACAAGGACATGCGTTGCGACCATGCTGAGTTGTCATCCTGGAGCTCTTTTTCCAGGGCATGGAAAGACTGGCAGCAAATCATTGCCATTCGCCCTGCTCAAGTTCATGCTCGCTGTGATGACTGCGCCAAATACGCAAAGTACCGGCAGCTGCATTGCGACAATGAAGCTGATTTGAAGGCTGTGACGAACGCCTACAACAAGCACATCAAGGAAGTCTTTGCCGACAGGCATGTCATGACTCTGCTGGAAAACAAAGTCGAGCAAAGCATGAAGCAGGGAGAGCAAGAACTACCGCATTTGGTTTTGGTGATTGATGGGATGGACAAGAGCAAGTGGTTATTACCAAAACTCGTTGAGAACACCAAGAGAATGTCCATGCTTCGGCGGCCATCTTTGCATCTTGTTGGCGTGATGATCCCTGGAGTTCTGGAATTCATGGCGATTCTTGAGCCAGATGTGAAGGGCGATTCAGATTGTCAACAGACATTGATCTGCAGAGCTATTCAACTTGCAGAGGAGCAACTTTTGCGCAGCGGTCGGTCTTTGCCAGGAAGACTTGTCATTCAGTTTGACAATACGAGCAAAGAGGGTAGAAACAGTCAAATGCTCCTTTGGTCATCGATGATGATCAAAATGAAAAGGTTCACAGACATCGCATTTGGACTGATGCGTGTAGGACACACGCACAACCGCTTGGATCAGCGGTTCGGTGTGATTTCCGCCCTTCTTCGTCGTGCGTCTTGCTTGGAAACGGCTGAGGACTATCAAGCCTACATCCTTGAGCATTACAAGCCTGCTCGAGGTCTGCCATTGATCTGTGAGGTCATCACGGCGTGCCATTGTTGGCGGGATCTCATGGCCCCCTTGGAGACGGCCTTCACTGGAATCACCGGAAGCAAGACTACTGCAGACGCAGCCCATGTGATGCGAGTGGTGGCCAGGAAGGACGTTGCTCATTGCGTGCCAGGGTGTGTTGCTGAAGAGGGCGATGATTTCGATCCTGTTTTGTTGGCCAAGCACTGGTTGTGTTCAAAGGTGTTGTCACAGCCACCGACTGTGCAGTTAGAAGGGAAAGCGAAGGTAGATTTGTCTTTGCTTCGCACCATGCCGGCCCCGCGCGCATGGCTCACAGATGAGTCGCTCAAGAAGTATGCGAAGACAGCAGAGGAGGTGTTGCAAAAGCCTTGGCAGTTGCATGCCGCTTTCTCTTACTTTCAGGATTGGTTGCGCAGAAACGGAGAACAGATACCTGGTAAGCTCCCGGACATCGAATGCATCATCAATGGCAGGGACTTTTTGGAGCCTACCGGTCCTGAGGTGACTGCAACTTGGAAAGACTTTGCTCCAGAAGGAGCGCTGGCCATTCGAGAAGTGCGTGCAAGACCCAAGACTTATGGCCCGAAGAGACCGCCCAAGACCGATGCTGCTGCTTCTGCTGCTGTGGCACCACAGCAATCGTACTTCGTCCTGTCTTATGTGTAAGTATGTTTGTTCTTTGCCCAGTAGCTTGTATAAGCGTTTGAGTGGAGACAATTTTTTAAAGTGACAAGAGTGAGTTCTCCACCAGCTCCAAACTACTGCACGACAATGCTGCGAGAGAACAACATTGGCAAGTCTAGTTTCTTGCGCGAGCGAAATTTTTCGTTTAAGAGCAAGTAGAGATGCTTGCCTTGCAGCTGCCTGTAGACTTTCCGATGCAACTGTTGGGTCAAGAAAAACTTGAGTCGGTATTGTATGATGTTTCTCAGTCTGTGGATGTGGTCGAAGGCACGGCTTCATCTTTAGCCTGAGCATCAAGGCTTTGTGGTGACAGGTACCAATGCGATACCTGCCATATATGCGAGCGAAAAGTTGTGTTGTATCCAGGAAAAGGCTAGGCACTAAGAATCGATCTAGTGCGGATTCTTGGTCTTGGTATTTATAGGTAGGAAGTGCAGGATCAACATCTGTGAGCCCAGCCTGCACCAGGAAGTCATCCCACGTATGAAAGTGATTCTGATCACAGCGATTAAAGTCACCTCCAACAAAGACCGGATAATCAGTCAGAGCAAGAACGGTTTGCAAAGTGGTTGAGACGAAGGGCCTAGGGCTGTTCGGAGGGATGTAGACCGAAACAAGCCATATAGTACAAGCTTGGTATTCGACACGAGCTGCAACAGCATAGTGCTGCACCAAGACGCGTTCTTCCAATACTTTCCAACCTGGAGGAAACAGGATTGCAACTCCAGCCTGCTCTCCCGGATTTTGCTTGGCCAAATTGGTTACAAACTTAATGTCTGGCCACGTGTGGGATAAGTATTGGAGATTAGCCTGATTCCACTTTGTTTCCTGTAGCAGTACTGGTGCCTGTTTCAGCATAGTTTTGACTATCCAAGTCTTGTGCACGTTGGTGGGAAGTCCTGGAGACCAGCTATTGAGATTCCAAGTGTAAATGCCTTTTACAGAGACTGGCAGGTTGCTAGGCCTTTGCATACGAAATTGTAGCACGTTATGGCAGAGCTGCCAGAATTTCAATGGGATTTGGCGTAAGGATTGAACTTCGTTAGGGAGAACAAGAGGGATATTACCTGCAAGTGTAGACGGGTCTGCAACGACACAATCTGTGAACTTGCCGATGTTGACTCGTAGAGAATGGAGGGCATCTGATAGATTGACATTGCCATCAAAACCACACAGCATGAGGAAATCCTCAATCTTGATCTGTCGGTACGGTAGGGAGGGATGGATAAAATGTATGAGGAAATGGAGGGAAGAGACGTGCGTAATAGAAGCATTTGTTTGTTTTGTAGTATGCCAGTATGCTGCTTTGAGGCCTGTAGATAGGGTACGCTGCACTAAACGGAGAGATTTAATGGGTAGGTAACATAAATGCATCATTCAGCGTGTATAAGAGCCTTAGCTCTATGAAAGAGCTTTGCTGAAATCTCTCCTTGTTTGCACGCGTACCAAACCGAATTCAGCGTCATGAGACGACAATCGTCGATGCAAGCCTCAGTAGGAATATGGGTAGCAGCTTGTTCTGTTGCAATGGTCGTAGGAAGCACTGGGTGCGGAGTATGTGTGGTAGGAATAAGGGAAAGCAGCCGTTCGCAACTGCTGGCTTCAGATGCTTCGACTTGATGGATAATCAGTAGACAGAAATTAGGCAATTTATCTGTTTGCCAGATGTTTTCTTGGAGTCGTGGGTAGGCTGCTCGAGCACTTTCAGGACAGATGCTAAGGCACCAATCCTGGAGGAGTCCCCCAATAAGAATGACAGGGAAGCTCCCTGTCATGAGATGACAAACATTTGCAAAAGGCTCTTTGCATACTTGCTTCTCTGCTGCTAGCAGCAGGTGGGAAAGCCTCCACAATGCACATGCTCAACTAAACTATGTGCCCACGGCTTTTCGGTAATAGTGCATATGCGTTCTTGTTGGATAGCAAAAGCACATATATGTTCCGTTCCAGCTCCCTGGGGGTTGGTTTGAAAACCAAACATGGACCGATACCAGGAGGACGGCTGAGAGGGCTGACAAATGCTACCACAACGAACAATCACCTACATCCAACCCACACAACCCTGGAAAATCAGGGATTCCACCAGCGCCGGTAGCCAGCGCTTGGCTCTTTCTGGCTTAGCTTCCCGACTCCAGGCTATTTACACTTACACCTTTCCACCCAACACCGCAGAGGCAGCGGCTGAAGAGCTTATCCGGCTGTATGTCCAAAAAGGGCATGACCAAACTGTGCGCCGGCGATTTTTGAGAAGAACAGAAGCCACCGTCCTTTCATGCACTTGCGCCGACTTCGGCCACTTGTGTGTGTCAAACCCTGTTCCAAAGGGTCCTGCACTTTTGTTTCTGATACCACTACAGGGGGCCAGCGGCCGACAAGCAAACGCTGGCTAACAAAGCTATGCTTGTTCGGTGGACGCACAGTCTGATCAACTGTGTGTACCTGCGACCAACCTTTGCACAAGCTGTCACTCCACTTTCCTCGGTTTGATTCATGGTTCTTACATGCTACCTTCCCCCAAACCCTGGGTTTCTGCGGCTGCACCGCGCCGCTCGTTTCGTCACCGCTGAGTTCTGCAGACACGAGAAACAACTTTTGTTCAAACCCCTTTCCATTTCTTGGACTTTTCACCATGCCGTTTCCTCGCCTTCCTTCTCAACGTGGGAATTGAGTTAACAGCAAACCAATGTCAGAGTGTGTGTGTGCCCCTTGTAGTCACAGGGATTCTTTTGAATTGTTCTTCGTTCATAAGCAGGGGGACCATCCATGTGCTGTGAGCGATGGTCCGACGAAGCCGCCACAGCACATGCGGATATCTGGCCTGATCAGCCAGACGTACCTGCTTGTACCCTTAGGAAATGGTATCCTAGGCCGGCGTGTGGCACCGCTGTCCGTCAGTACGCATATCCAAGTGTGTCATTTTGATGGCCAGGAGGTAGCTGTGATGACGTGTGTGGAAAAGATCTTTGCTATACCTCGAAGCAAGAACAGCTGACTGGCAAGCTTTGGCTTTGCTTCGCAATATTTTTTTGTCTCTTTCGTGCAATGTGTCAGACCCTGGTTGGGTGCATTTTTTAGGAAAAACAACGCATTAACACGTATCCTTTCTGTCCATTTGGTTCCTTTTTTCCGCCAGCACCGTTCCAAGATACGCAGATCCGAGATTTGACCCAGAAACTCGGCTTTGACTGCCAGGGCTCGATCACTCCTAGCAGCGATGATGGTGCTCCAGGGGTTTTTGCCTCCTTCCGCCGGTGCTACAGGTACAGCGGACAAGCTGGTAAAACGAGGTGTGGCGCAAAATTCTTTTTGCTGCTTGGATTTGCAGCGTTGTTTCACACCGCTTTCTCTTTGTTTCGCCACCCCGGTCGCCGACTCGCTTGGACCAGCGGTTCCCCTCGCGTCTGGCCGCGTGGCGGTGTGGGCGGGAGCTGAGGACGAGGCGGTCTTGCTATTGCAAAGATCCGAGCGGAGGCGGCTCGGGGGATCCCCACATCCAATCGTTGCGCGGTGCTCACTATAGCCTCTTGAAGGAAGGCACCTTCCTTGCATGGAGCTTTTCCAAAGCGCCAGTCGAGTGGCAGCTCTATGCCCACTACGCAGGCTCGAGGGCATTGGGCAGAAGGGGTTGCAGAAGTGGCCTCCTCTCATAGTGTTTGGGGAACTGCTGGGCTCTCGTACCACATGAGCAACCGCCAAAACGTGCAATGACCAGTTTAATCAAGAGCGGTTGTGAATTCTAGGAAATTGGCTAAAACCTGCAAAAGCGACAGGGCCTCCTGAAAAGCGATAACCATGCAGCCGCAGTTTCTGGATATGTTCAGCTTAGTCGAAAAGCGCTAGGCCCCCCGTCAAAAGCGATGACCTAGTTGAATGTTACAAGGCATTTTGGCAGACACTCACATCATTAACTTTGACAAAGATGGTCCTTAAGGCCTTAGTGCAAGGAGCGGGTGCCTCAACCGCTCCTTGCCGCTCAACCGCAGAGGTTCAACATTCACCACCCAAGGGCTCTTGCTCTTGGACAAGAGTCTTGGACGTCGCATGGAAATGACCGCGGAGGATTGTCAATGGCGCAGCCATCACGGGGAGAAGTGGCATGCTGTCTCTGGTGGACTGGAGCTCCCTTGGAAGGTGCAAACAACTAACCTGACAACTCCCGACCTCGTGGTGATGGGCTCCGAAATCAGTTTCAGCATGGAAGGTCCCCAAGGTCAGCGCAAGGTGGCCCGTCTCCTGTCCCACTGCACCCCTCATGATCATTTGGACTTCAAGCTCACCATGTACGAGAAGGAAGACATTGACTACGTGGATGGTGAACTTGGAGTTGACCCGCAAGTCTGGAACAAGTCCTCCCTCTTCTACTCCAAAAGCAGCCAAATGCAGATGCGAAACGATCTCGAGTTTGAGGCTGGGTGTCTACATGTGTCTACCATGTTTCGTGTTCACGAAGCTTGGACGCAGGCTCCGTCTAGTTTTCTCACCCTGTTTCAGGCGTCCGAAACTTGGGCCAACTTGGGTGGCAGTGAGGCTGCAGCGGAATATTTGAAGAAGAAACAGCAGGAGCAGGCCGGGGCTTCTTTGGTGCTACGTAAAGACTGCGCCACTGAATCTGAGATTCGGGCAGCCACCAAGATCTGCGCCAAGTACTTGAAGAAAAGCCTCAACGAGGACGTCTTTGCCGACTGCGTCTTCGACGTTTGCCATGGCGGAGGCGAGGCGGAGGCGGAACGTGCCGCTTTGCTTATTTCAGGTTAGGCCGCCGCTGGTTCTTGGTGTCGCGCAGCTTGAAGAACGTTGTTTGGAGTGTTGGAGAGCCAATATCAATTAGTCAACTTGGTGATTAAATTCAGGCAGCTTTGCTTGTCTCAAAGCTAGCTAGACGCATTGTTTGTTGTGCCAAGCTGCTGAGCTTTTGAACTTGGCTGGGTATCCCACTGTGGCATCCAGCAAGGATGCTAGGGGTAGATGCACGGCTTTCTTTCTGCAAAAGCCTTGGCGTTTTGATTTCGCCGGGGCAGTCAGAGAGAACCTGTGGCGTCCAGCAAACTCAGCTGACTGAGCCTCTTTTCCTCATAGTACTTGCAGACGCAACCTTCTTTGAGTGGATTTTGCCTGCAGATAAGCTGTGACACATATTTCGTCCAGCGCAGCCGCGGGCTTCTTTTTCCGAGATGGACTGCGAGGCAGCTGCTTGCTGCGCTCAAACGAGAAAAGGACTCGTTGTGTTTGATGGCCAGCTCAACAGCACACAATTGCTGCAGCTAGGTGTGACTAAGACAACTAGTCGCACTACGTGATCCTTTTCCGAAGCTTATTATACAGGAGGGGTAAATGAGAAAGAACTTGCAAAAAGCTATATGTAATCTCGATTTCCCAACCAACTTGTCCCACTGCAAGTCGCCTGACCCCAGTATACAGGTAAACATTTGGATGGCACACCTTGGAACTTGCTTCCAGGATCGGGTGGCAGCTCGAGGACAGGCTCTGTTCTTCCCGAATGCGTAGCGAAGGGTTCTCGTTTAAGTCTGGGGGTCTGGGGGTAGAGTCTTGTTCGCGACCCGTTGCTTCTATGTTCGCAACCGTCCGCAACCGTTCGCAACCGTTCGCAACCGTCCGCAGTAGGTCGCTGAGGCGCTGCCATTGGGGGAAGCTTTTGCAAGTGACTATGCATGGATGTGTCACGTGTCAGTTTGCGCCGCTATTCCATTGTGATTTGCATGAAAATGGGATGGCGCAAGACACGTGATGCGTTTCGCTGCACAGGCGCAGCGTTTTGTGAGATCCGCAGTTTGCTACACAGTTCCATTGGGATTAGCGTGTGGAGAGTCGCGTTTTTGGGGTGTTGGATGTGGCCGTGCCATTGGGATTTGCGTTTCAGGATGTGGCATCGAGGCTCTGTTTTCGTGACAAGTCTCAGCTGAAATGCCGATTTTGGACTCTGGGAGTGTGCTCAGAACGGGTCGAAATCATTCCAAACGTGTGGTGTGGTGCAAATTTTGTTGAAGCTCACATGAGATGATATTGTCACTTTTCGTGGCAGGCGCAGTACTTTGTGCGGCTTTTGAGGTGTGGAAGTGCGATTCTCGTGGCAGGCGCAGGGAATCGTGAGGTTGCGAGGTGTGACGGAGGTGACATTTCGTGGCAGGCGCAGTACTTTGTGCGCGTTAGACGTGTGGACGCGGAAAGATTCCTGGCAGGCGCAGGGAATCGGGAGGTTGTGAGTTGTGGTAGAGGTGAATGTCGCTGTCACATTGGGATTGGCGTGTGAGCCGGTGTCGCTTGGAGGGGCTGGAATCGCGAAACTGCTTGGCAGGGCTGCGTGATGTGTGTGCTCCGATGGGTGTTTCCGCTGGACTTTTGGAGGAAGTCTCGTGCGAAACGATCGTTTTGCAGACTTTGACATGTGAGTTTTTGAGGAAGTCTCGTACGAAACGCTCGTTTTGGGGACTTGCAAGAGTGTCCCGCAAGAGTGTCCCGCAGTGTCCCGCAAGAGTGTCTCACAAGAGTGTC